AAGGTTAATTTTCTTTCATTTCTGATTTCTCTAAACCACAATGACTTAAGGGTAGGGTTTATGTTCTACTCCAGAGGTTACCCTCCTGAGAAAAGTGTAAGACGTAGGAGTGACCTGACGGAGTGCCTACGGAGCTTGCAATGTCTTATGGGACAGAGTGTCTTGTCTGCTCCAGCCCTTCCAGGGTGTGGGAGACTTGCTGTTTGCAGTTGAAGTCATCCAGCTGGCCAGCTTCCTGGTGCTGATCTTGGTAGCTTTATCACTAGCCTGTTAGTTACACTGGGAATAGGGGAGGGTGTTATGTGTCCACATTTGCAGCTATTTCTAAAAAGCCCTTTGGAGAGGACACAGTGTAACAAGCAGCAGCTCTGGCTGAGTGAGGAAGGAGCCTTGGAGCCACCACAGCTGTGCTTTCATAGAACTTACCATTTTCACAGGTTTGCATTGTTTCCATTTGCTCCCATGAGCACATGTCTTTCTGGAAAGAATGTTTGAATTGTTTTTCGTTTTTTAATTGTTTTAGGTTGGACATAATTGAGTGCTGATAGCCTATTGAAGTCCAGCAATTGAGGCCAAGGCTGGGGGAAAATGAATTCTGGGCCAGACTGGGTTACATAGAATTCATCTGCTTCAAAGAATTGAGAGTTGACTAGTTTGAGCAATAATAGGAAAACATTCTCAAGAGTTGCTGTGTTATCCTTGGTTCAGAAAAGAGGATGAATTAGTTCGACAGTAATTTAAAATGTAGATTACCTTAAACTCAGCAATCCTGCTTCAGCCTCTCAAGTGCTGAGATGACAAGTACGTGCCAGTATGTTTAAGAATTCCTCGTGTTCAAGTTATTGTGGTTTTTGGTGGGGGTGTTATTTGCCTTATTTCTAGGGTACAGACCATTAAAGTAACTCACAGAGTTAAAGTAAGCTCACAGAGGTTTGGAATGAGGTACCAGTGTATTCTTTGATGTAATAGAAGGGTTGCTGGTGTCTTTGAGGGAGAGGAGAATCATGGCTGAGGTTGCAGGCGGCTCTAGGTCATTGATTCATACCTCAGTAACTTCATTGGTGCTCTGAATTCACAGAAGGAAGACTTTCTAAGGAGGGGTGGAGAGTTTCTAAGTTGTTACCTTAAATCTGAAGACTGGAGTGAGTCAGATTCTGAGCTCCATTATTGTAGACAGCCAGGCAAATGTGCAGTCTACAGTGGTCCACCTTCATGATATTTGTTGACTTAGGATCAAAGTTTGTGTTGCTGATTCTGTCACAGCTGGGCCTTCGTGAAGGCAAACCGCTCTCCTGGTGCCTCCTGGAGCTGCTCTAGATTCTAGGCAGGGCCTCTTTGACCATGTTGTCTGCCAAGTTCATTTTGGGGAACCACACAATTGAATTAACAAAAACAAAATAACAGAACTGGATTGATGCTCAGTGTTTAAGAACACTTGGTATTCTTGCAGAAGACCAATGTTCAGTTCCTATCACCCACATGGTGACTGTAAGTATTTGTAACTCTGTAAGTACCAAGTATACATGTGGTTCACATACATTAAAAAAAGTTTCAAATAAAATTTGTGACTTTTCCTTGGGTCTCATTCAGAACTGCCCTGACTGGATTCTATACACGATCTCATAACTGTAGTTGGAAAATGAATAATCCTTGGGACTTAGGTTTTAGTGAAATGAAGTAAGTGGGTCAGACATTCAAGAATAGGACCATGCTACGACTCAACCCTATGGAGGCTGAGGCAGGGGATTGTGAATTCTAGGCCAGCTTGGCCCATATTGTGAAATTGTCTCAAAAAGCCAAACACACACACACACACACACACACACACACAGAGAGAGAGAGAGAGAGAGAGAGAGAGAGAATGAATAGCACAGCACCTATGCGTAAGCACCAGTAGCCTGAGCAATGATGATTCTATTATGGGGATCACCCAAGCCAAGAAGTCTGAAGGTGGGTGGAGTCAACACACCAAGATCCTAGCTCAGAAAAAAAGAAAAAAAGAAAAAAAGCAGCAAGCGTGAGCTAGGTGAGGGTACAAAGTACTATTAGGTCCATCTTTATCATTGTGCTCAGAAACCCTTGCTGTCCCATTTGACTACCACATTTTCTACTGATGATAGATTTTGGTGGCTATGCTTATGGGATAGATTAAACTTGCCATGATCTGAAGGGAGAGGGCTTTTCAGTGTCCTCCCTCTATATGAAATGGCTGGACAGTAAACCACTTCTCATTACAACTAACTCATGTGGTAAAACCCAAAGTTTGAGTAATGAACTGGAAAGGATTTTCCCCTCCCATATGTAGTGCTGGCTGTCCTGAAACTCCTTCTGTAGACCAGGCTGGCCTTGGACTCACAGAGATCCACCTGCTTCTGTCTCCTTAGTGCTGGGATCATGTACCACTGCTGCCAGCTCTCGTATTTTAAGCAGGGAAGCAGTGTGTTGTATCCACGAAAACTCAAATGTTAACAGAGATGTACTTGGGAAAATACTTCTAAGATACCCATGTCATCCCAAATTAGTGGGATAAATGATTTCTTCTCTAATACATAGTAAATGCTGTGTTGCTGTTAAGTATACAGATTAAAACCGAAGTTGGGTTGGAGAGAGGGCTCGGGGTTAAAAGTGCTGTCTGCTTTTCCATAGAACTTGGGTTTGATTTCCATCACTCACATGGTAGGTAGCTCACAACTATTCATAACTTCAGTTCTCCTGATGCCTCCAAGGCACCAGGCACACACGTGGTACATAGACATTTGTGTGGACAAAGCACATACATTATACTTTAAAACAAAACAACAAAAACGCTGAAATAAGGGCTGGTGAGATGGCTCAGCTCTTCAGGAAGTCATGAGTTCAAATCCCAGCAACCACATGGTGTCTCACAACCACCTGTAATGAGATCTGATGCCCTCATATGGGTGTCTGAAGACAGCTACAGTGTACTTTGGGCTGGAGTGATGGGGCCAAAGCAGGTAGGGGCAGGGAGCGGGTGGGGCTGGAGCAAGAGGGAGAAGGGAAGGGGATTTTAACAAAAAACAAAAAACAAAAAAAGCTGAAATAAAACCAATCCCCTTTTTGTATTTTAAGTAGATTTGTCTTCACTCTGCTTTGCTTGCATGTTTGGGTAATTTTATCTTTTAAATAAGATGGACTGTCTGTTGTGTGGCTTTCTTGGGGAGATGTAAACAAATATTTGCCTTGGTGAGTCAATGGGCTTGTTGGTAGCTTCATCATCAGTAGCTCATCCTAGCCTGGGTGATGACTTAAAAAAGCCACATCGACCTCCAGGGTGAACAGTCCCATCTGCAGCAGTCCTTACTGATGTATAGCCTTGGGGAGGTGGCCTTGTGAGTCCTGTATGCTTTGGGAACTCCCTGAGTGAGAATTGTGACTTGAATTTCTTACTGAGCCTTGAATGCTCTATAGTATTAAGGAAGTTTCTAGGGGCTTCAGAACTGCCACTGCTGTGAATTCTGCACCTGATCTCAACTGTAGTTGAGGAAATGAACAGGGTGCTATGTTTCAACTTGGGAGGAGATTGCTACATATACCATGTCATGTCAGAGGATGTTGAGGATTTACAGGTGTCTTTATAAACAGAAGTTTACACATCTCCATCATATTTTAAACTGTTAGTTTTAGTAAAAAAATAATTTTGTTAACTCTATATATTTGATTTTGACAGTCCTTTATTTTGTAAAAATCAATGTAAAGAATTTATTTATGGGGGTTAAATTTTTTAAAATTTGGCTTTTTTTTTCTTTTTTTTTTTTTTTTTCCCAAGAGGCTCTTACTTTATAGGCTTGGCTAGCCTGGAGGTAGAGCTAGGCTAATCTTAAAACTCAAAGATGTGCTTGCCTCTGGATTCTGAGAACTAGTATTAAAGGCATGCATCCAGTTAACTTATCTTTTATGTGTTTGCCAATATGAATGTTTGTGGAACATGTGTTTGCTCAGTGCCTATAAAGGCACTAAAGAGGATGCTGGAGTTACAGATGATGTTAGTCACCATGTAGATGTTGGGAAGTGAATCCACATCTTCTAGAAGAGCAGCCAGTGCTGCTAACTGGTGAACATTCTCTCCAGTCCCTGTAGCTCTTCATATCTCCTCTGCACCATCCACCACTCCCATGCCACCGTTTCTCTGTGTAGCCCTGGCTGTCCTGGAACTCACTCTTGTAGACCAAGCTGGCTTCAAACTCTGCCTGCCTCTCTCCCAAGTGCTGGGATTAAAGCCCAGTACCAACACTACCTGGCCTGTCTTATTATTAAATTTTTTATATTTTTGTGGTGCAAGTAGACTAGAGAGTGTGGTAACTGGTACACGAGCATTGACTGTACCAGCTGAATTGTTATCTTTGAGTCTAGGACGGGAAAACAAGAGAGTTCTCAGAGTAGTGGGAGTATTGCACGGCATAGTGTTGCCCGCCTTCAGTCCCAGTACAGTGGATCTCTTGAGGTCAGGGCCAGCCTGATCTACAAAGCAAGTTCCAGGACAGCCAGAGCTGTACATAGAAACTGTGTCTTGAGGAACAGAACAACAACAACAAAAGACTGGAAGGCCTTTAAGTGAGCTGCTTAAGAACTTAATAACTGGGTTGGTTCATGCTGCAGATATGCACTGTTGGGGTTTTATCTCTAGTTTAAGAAAACTGAGTATTTGGAATAATGGGAATAATGAGTTTTTACATTTTTTTCCTCATGTGTTCATCTGACTACAATACTCTGGGATGTAAAAATTATGGATTTAGTCTGTTCTTATAATGTTTATTCCTTTTCAAACTTTAAACTGGGTGTGATAAACATTTAGGAGGCTGAAGTAGGCAAATCTCAGTGCCCTGCCATCCTGGTCTACACAGTGAGTTCCAGGGTAATTAGTTAGCACGTGGCAGTGAGACTCCTAGGGATGCTGAAGTGATGCTGGGTTTAGTTGGCTTAGCACAGTGAGTCCTTTTCAAGCGCTCGTGATTGGTTGACTGCATTGTATTGTTTTACAGGTTGAATCGACCAAAGCGATGGTTATGGAGAAGCCTAGTCCCCTGCTGGTCGGGCGGGAGTTTGTGCGACAGTACTACACCCTGCTGAACCAGGCCCCGGACATGCTGCACAGGTGTGCTCTCAAGTGCCCAGGAGGGGTGTGTGGGATGGATAGCTCTTCAAATAAACACCATTAAATAGAGTTTTAGAAATAGCACAAGATCTCACCATGTTATACAGCCCTGGCCTGGCCTGGAATTCAGAGACCTGCCTGCCTCTGCCTCCTGGGTTTTCGGATAGAGGTGGCCACCATGCCCAGCTCACACAGATTACTTTATAGAGCTGTATTAGTTTGCTAGTGAGGTGTCTCGAATCTGGCATTTTTACACTGTTTCAGTATATAAAACTATCTGGATTTAGAATAATTTTTCACACACGTAAGATGTATTTGCACTATAGTTTCTTTTTTTTTTTTTTTTGGAGACTTCACATTTATTAACTGGTGTGATGCAAGTTGGGATTACTGAATTCCCATAAATAAAGTTTCACTTTTGAACATTTGCTCTCTTACTTTTTAACACCAACAGACACGTTGACAAGTCTTTCACCACTGGCTATTCAATCTGCTTAGTAACAAGTCTTTTGGTCTTCTGTCATTCTAAGGTATGGCCTACTGCCCTCCTTTCTGTACGATCTGGGCAAACTGACCGGTGATAGCAAGAGTAGTGTCAATAAAGCGATCCACACAGTTAGAGACACAGTTTTCAGTGCGGGAGTCTAGCTGACTTCCTGGCTTCTCCACACACTTATCCCAACATAGTTCCATGAAGTGATGCACCTGCGCAGTGAACTGCGCCTTCTGCTGCTCGGCAGCCACCAGGTATTGTAGCTCTGCTTCGTCCGCTTCACCAAGCTCCGCCATTGTCAGCACCAGGGGCTTCTCTGAGTCACGCATGTGCGGAGGTGCACTATAGTTTCTATTTCAGTCAAGTTGAAATATTTTTTTTTTAAAGTTTATCATTTCTAGAACAGTCTCTGATTTTCTTGACAATCCTTTGGTGAATCGTCTCAGAAGCTGGTCTCACCTTGTAGATGTTGATGCTCAGAGGATTTAAATGTCTGGATTCACTTCTGAGCAGCAGAAGCTGGCTCTGCACCTGAGCAGCAGAAGCTGGCTCTGTACCTGAGCAGCAGAAGCTGGCTCTGCACTTTTTAACCTCTTCCTTTTTTTTTTTTAGTTCTTGCTGAGTTTGATGTCAGTTTTCTTCCCTGTCTTGAAGTTAGTTAAGGTTGTGGTATCAGGATCTGCACCAGTGCAAGTCCAAGCTGGAGCTGGAGGATACTGCACACATGCCTGTCCTGCTGATGCTGTTGCTTGCATTCCCATTTCCATCGAGGGTGCGGTGTGGAGGGGCCTGGAGGAGAGAGCAGAGGCTGCTGAACTGAGTTCCTTTAGTAGCTTGAAATTTACAAGGTGCTGTGTGCATTGGCACACGCCTTTAATCCCAGCACTCAGGTAGCCACAGGCAGGTGGATCTCCTTGAGTTTGAAGCCAGCCTGGTCTACAGAGTGAGTTCCAGGACAGCCAGGGCTGCACAGAAAACCTGTCTTCAAAAAGAAAAGTAGCAAGTTAGTGTGCTTTGGGGGTAAGGTAGATGGAAACAGGATAGGTCCACATAAGTAGTGTGGCCTCATTTTAAGGGTTTTATCGAGTTGCCCTCCGATGTCTTCAGTGGTCTTTGGTTGGCATTTTGCTGTACATCTCTCTGATGTTAATTGAGTGTATAGATGAGAGAGAGAGCTAAAGGGATAAAAGTTCATACCACCCGTGCGCAGGACAACTGCCCACTGCCTTCTCAGGTGGGAAGGCACCAACTCTTCAGATCCGTGACAGGGCAGCTGTCCTCAGTGGAAACAGGAACTTGATTTTTGATTTTAAGTTCCTTCCCAACATGATCATCCTACCCTGAAACCTGGAAGTCGGGACTTGAAAACCACACACAGGCCTCATGCCTCACTGACTGAGACTGTTCCCACTCGGGTGTGTGGAATGAACTTGTGCACAAACATAAGCCGAGTCCCTGCTGTGAGTCTGCCAGTGAGGTGGATAGGTACCAAGCCTGAACATTAAGTACCTGCACTTCGGGTCCTTGAAGATGAGAAGTAAATTGCCTTCTCTTGTACAGATTTTATGGAAAGAACTCTTCCTATGCCCATGGGGGCTTGGATTCCAACGGGAAGCCAGCAGATGCAGTCTACGGGCAGAAGGTGGGTGCTGTGGACCAGTAGCAGCAAAGAAGGCAGCTAGCTCCCTGCCTACTGGGAAGCTAGTGTCTAGGGGTAGTTTCTGTTTAATTCCTTGGTTTGCTGAACTGCTTGTGTGTTGTCATGTTACATTCATTCTCTGTGTTAGATAGCTGGCTTCAGCAGAAGTACTCCATTTCTAAACTTAAAAGGTGTTTATTCCAGTACTTATTTGATTATTTTATTTTTTGAGACATGATTTTGATATTTGTTTTTGGATGTCTTGGAACTTGCTATATATGTCTGGATATCCTCCTGACTCAGTTTCTCAAATGCTTAGATTACATTTAAGGAGCTAAGCTGTGTTCACTGGAACTACAGCACACACAGACAGCTGGAGTGTATTATAACAGTAATATATGCATTCTCTATATGCTATGTTGGGAATTTTTTATTGTTTAAAATTCTCTTACGAGTATATTTATTTATATGTATGAGTGTTTTGCTGGCGTCTGTGTCTGCACCATGTGCATGTCTCCTCCTTGAGGAGGTTAGAAGAGTGCTTTGGATACACAGGAACTGGAGTTACAGGCTGGGGAGCAACACTGTGGATACTAGGAACTGAACATAGGTCCTCTCCAGAGCGGTAAGAGCTCTTAACCACAGAGCCATCACTCCAGCTCCGAAGTGTTCACATTTACTGGTTTGTGGGTGAGTGTGACTGTTGTAGCCTGCTTGTGGAGGTCAAAGAACACCTTGTTAGGAATTCTTTGCTTCCATTTTATAGGCCCTAGAGATTATCAGGCGCTATAGCAAGTACCCTTACCTGCTATGCCACCTGGGGTTTATTTTTTTAAGTAAATTTTGTGTTACTTAATTGTCTCATTTGCTAAGACAAATACTTGACCAAAGCAAATTAGGCAGGAAGAAGGGGTATTCAGGCTCACAGGTTGAGGGTATAGTGCATGTGAGAAAGGCATGGTAGCAGGAACATTTGAATGCTGGGGTATTCAGGCTCACAGGTTGAGGGTATAAGTGCATGTGAGAAAGGCATGGTAGCAGGAACATTTGAATGCTGGTGCTCAGGTCCCCTTTTATACAGTACAAGGGCCCTTGCCTGTGGAATGGTGTTGTCCCAGAGGATTGTTTCCTAGGTGATTCTAGGTCCTATCAAGCTGAGTGCAGATGAGGTGGTGTGAACTTAGGTTTCTGCCCTTCGGTGTACTTGTTGTATAGCTTTTCAGATTGCTTTGAGACTGCTCAAGAACTACTTGTAGGAGCAGGAGGTAGGGCTGAGTATCAAGTACAGATCTGTGAGAAAAAAAGGTGGAGTTGGAGGATCTGCCAGGGTCTGTTCTTGGTGCTGGCAGCTGCTGTTTTAGTTTCTGAACTGGTGAGTTCCCGAGGGATTGACTCTTGCCTCCATTCCTCAGGAAATCCACAGGAAAGTGATGTCACAAAACTTCACCAACTGCCACACCAAGATCCGCCACGTGGATGCTCACGCAACTCTGAATGACGGGGTGGTGGTCCAAGTGATGGGGCTACTGTCCAACAACAACCAGGCTCTGCGGAGGTTCATGCAGACCTTTGTCCTTGCTCCTGAGGTATGTTGCATGATGGCTGTTGGTTCTGTAGTGATGGAGTACTTAAAGACTAAAAGCTGTGTGGAGTCTAGATTCCTGGCAGCTCAGATGTTATATGTGTGGCTTTGTCGTCTTGTCCTAGAGCTGTGGTGTCCTTACTGGTCCAGGAATATATACTTCTGGGAGGTGTCTTCCATCTAAACTATTGAAATGAAGGGTACTTTATCCCTTCAGCTGGATCTCCTAAAGACAAGGAATTCTGTTTCATAATCATCCTATTACCAAATTCAGAAAAGACTGTTCAATATAACTCACTTTGTAACTCATATCTGAACTTTGGAAAGTATTCGGCCTTGTCTTCCATAGTAGCTTGTTTGTCTTGATCCGAGATTCTGTATATAACTATCTGTTGTGTTTGTCTGGTCATGTGTCTTGTTTTCTATCATTTGTAATCTCTTCCTCCTCTGGTTTGCTTGGTATTGACAGTTCTGAAGAGCAGTCATATGTTGTCCATACTTAATGTACTTTTCTTCCACTGATCCTTAGTGACCATGATACTATAAGTGTCTCTGGTTCCCCTAGGTGATATGTTCAGGTCTTGCCATTGTAAAGTCATGTAGTTTTTGTGTCTGGTTTATAAATTGTGACTAATCTTTGGATCCTGTATAAACATGCTGCTCTTTATCAGTTTTGCATACTGTCATTCTTTTTCGTTTGAGGTTCTTGGCTGAATGGAAGGGTGACAGATGGGAATGTCTGATATTATCCACCACCCTGTGTTCGTTCATTGGCATTATCTTATAAGGATCCCTCTAGTGAGTTATGATTCATTAATAACCGCTTAACATATCCCTCATGTCCTGGGGCTAGTCAATGGGAACCCTTCATACTGTGCTGTTTTGCTGTGGGCATGCCATAGTTTATATCCTTGTGCTGGCCCTGGCCCTGCTCTCAAGCCTCATTTGGGAATTAGCTGTTTGTTCCACTCATGTAGTTAGGTTTCCGAAGGTACCACAGGTGGATATTGAGGGATGGCATCTGCTTACCTTCCTCAGAGAGAAGGGGCAGGAAACTGCATAGGTTCGGATTCAGTTCATAAGAACTTCATCTAAAAAGTCCTATTTAGGATAGTAAAATTACTATCCCTATCTTAAAAAAAAAATAACCGTTTGGATGTTTTTGTTTTGAGATAGAACCTCATTATGTAGCTCAGACTATCCTGGACATCATAGTGACCTCCTGAGTCAGCCTCATAAGTGCTAGAATTGCAGATATTTTAGCACCACCATTTAGGGTGTAGGCAGGATTTAGAGTAAAATTCCAGCTTTAAAACATGTTATATATATGTATATTTTTGTTTTATGTGTGTGGGTGTTTTGTCTGCATACATGTAGTGCCGTCAGAATCTACAAGAGGGCAGTGGATTCCCTGGAACTGGAGGTACAGATGGTAGTGAGCTGCTCTGTGGGTATCGGTAATTGAGCCTCGGTCCCTGTCAAAGGCAGCCAGTCCTCTAAACCACTAAGTCATCTCTCCAGCCTAGTAATTCCATTTTTTGAGACGCTGAGTCAGGAGGTTTGCAAGCTTGAGGACAGCCCACAGTAAACCAAGAGATATTTTGAAGGAGGAAAAGAAAGACTTGGTGGAGAAGAAGGGGGGGAAGGAAGAAAGAGGAGAAGGAAGAAGTCTACAACAACTTGACGGCTTCTCCATGTGCAGAGGAGTTTTACAGCCTATATGTTAATTACAGACTCAGTTTCATTCTGTCTTTCAAGGGAAGCATTTATCTCTTAAGAAAATGTATTATTGTGTAAAATACTTCGGTACACAAAGTACTATGGTATGTTTTATTATTCCACTTTTTATGGAATATTAAAGTTTCCTCAGACTTTAGAAATTTTGAAGAGCCAGTAAGGTGATTGGATTTGGGCCCAAGTGTGTCTAAATTCACATGAGAAATCTTTGAGTTACAGCATCATGAATATTTGGATTAATATTCTTATGTAAGAGTTAGGGCATTTTAAATACTTGTTGGAGTTGAAACTACTGTGCCTCTAAATGAAATATTCTGCCTTTAGTGTCATATAAAAGACTTCTTCCTTTCCTCTTCTTCTTCTTCTTCCTCCTCCTCCTCTTCCTTCTTTCTTTCTCTCTCTCTCTCTCTTCTCTCTATCTGGGTGACCATCTTGTGGTAAGGATACAATGTCTATGAGGTTCATACAATCATGATTTCCAACAGAGCATTCAGTCTTGGCACAGATGATATTGGCTGTCATGAATGCTGTTGGCACTTAGCAGTCTCTGTCATCTTCCCGGTGGTAGAAGCCAACCCCTTCTGTGAAACAGAAATGTTTCTAGACTTTGCCAGATGTCTGCTGGGGGCAAAACCTCCCATAGCTGAGAACGACTGGTATAGTGATTTTTGTTTTTTGAAGGAAGGGAGGGTTTGCTTTGTTCACATTTTTTTTTTTTTTTTTTTTTTGAGGGTACAGTCTGTCATGGCAGACAGTGGGGATATGAGGAGGCTGGCCACATTGCATCAGAAGCAGGAAGCAGATGAATGCTCACGATTCAGTTTTTTATAAGTCTAAATAACTGAAAACTTGTTGCTGGCATTGCAGGGTTCTGTTGCCAACAAATTCTATGTTCACAATGACATCTTCAGATACCAAGATGAGGTCTTCGGTGGCTTTGTCACAGAGCCTCAAGAGGGTGGTAAGTGTGAAGCTGTTGTCGTGGTTACTTGTATGGTATCAGACCGACTTTAGAGAAGGTTTCTTGTTACACTGTATTTTATGAACTACCGGTGTGAGGGTTTTACAGGAATTTCATTGCTTGGAAGAGGCACCATGACCAAGACAACTCTTACAAAGGCAAACATTTAACTGGGGCTGGCTTAGTTTCAGAGGTTCAGTCCAGTATCATGCGGAAAGTGTGCAGTGTACAGGCAGACATAGTGCTGGAGGAGCCCAGAGTTCTACATCTTGATCAGAAGGCATCCTGGAGGAGGCTGATTCTACACTGGGTAGAGCTTGAGCATAGGAGACTTCTCAGAGCCCACCTACTTCCTTTAGCAAGGTCATGCCTATTCCAACAAGGCCATACCTTCTAATAGTGCCACTTCCTATGACCAGCACACCTAGTTATGGTCAGAAGCAGGCCAGTTAGTGTGGCTCAGTGCAGATTACTGTGCAGAAGGCCTGATGTGCCTGTTTCCCTTAGTGGCGGTGAAAGCATGCAGTCTTTCTAGGGAGCCCCAGTTTTGTAGAATGGACAGTGGAGGTACCTGCCTTTGGCTCTCCAGGGAATGTTATTCTAAAGCTTTGTGCTGTCGGAAGTGTAGAAGGCGTCTGGAAGAAAGTGCAGACCAGGGTGCAGAATCAGACCTGTGGGGGAATAGTCTCTGTATGTCCTGAGCTCTAAATATATAGGCCTTCCTTCTGTAGGCTGGGTAAGTATCTTGGTGGGGAGGCATGACAGCAGGCAGATAAGGCAGGAGCAAGCAGAGCTTTTTTTGAAGATTTAAAGAGCACTTTTTTTTTTTGTTCAGAGAAAAGGTCATGATTAGAAGTGCAATTATAATAGGGAAGGATAATGAGTTCATTTATAGCATGAACAATGAGATTTGTCAAAAAAAATCATTGATGGTAACACTGGGGAAGCCTAATGAATACAGGCACAGGAAGCTCTATTCCACCCTGTTATCTGAATATAATGCATATGAGTGACTCCTATGCTATATAAACTTCTTTTTAAGAGCCTAGAAATAGGTCTCCCCTGATACAAAAAGATTGTTCTAGTGGACTGTAAAGAGCACTTTTTAAAATAAAGATTCTGTGTTCTTAATATTTAGCTTAGTTTTCCCCTTAAAGTCTGTGCTTTACCAAATTGCCCTGCTTTCTTTACTGTGTTTTTCTTTGTATCTACAGTAAACCTGTAAATTAAGATATTTATGAATAGGGAGGCAGAGGCAGGCAGATTTCTGAGTTCGAGGCCAGCCTGGTCTACAGAGTGAGTTCCAGGACAGCCCGGGCTATAAAGAGAAACCGTGTCTCGAAAAATCAAAAAAAAAAAAAAGATATTTATAAATATAGGGTGATTGTAATTATTTTACATCTCTTCCTTTCTTAGAATCCGAGGAAGAAGTAGAGGAACCTGAAGAAAGACAGCAGACACCAGAGGTGGTGCCCGATGATTCTGGAACTTTCTATGATCAGACTGTCAGGTAAGGAAGCTTCTTCACTTGCCCAGGCTTGCAATAAGAACTTGGATTGTACTGGAGACAGACTTGTCTTCTAGGAATTAATTTCAGGACATTAGCAGAGTCCAGGTATTTGTGTCAGTGGTAGAAAGATTGGAAGTATGCACCAAGTCGTGGGTTTGACCCACAGCATTGTGTAAGTCAGACCTGGAGACAAGCCTTTAATCCCAGTGTTCCAGAGGCTGAGGTAAGGGGATTGCTGTGAGTTTGAACACAACCTGCATGGGCTCAGCAACAAAACAATGATAATTTTTTAGGAAAAGATTTTAATTGTGTTATTTCTTAGTAACTAAGAATATGCAACTTTTATTTTATAGGATGTACTATGGTTCAGGTTGCTAATTGTTTTGAAGTCAGGTGCTCACCATGTAGCTGAGATTAAGCCTAGAACCTGAGTGTTTGAGATGCTGGGATTGTAGGCACACACACATGTAATCAGAAGAGTTCATATAACTAGAAACCCATAAGCTGAGTAATAATGAGGTTTCATAGCTCAGTCCTGCAGCTCAGAAAAAGAGGAATGGCATAGGATGACCTGCGTTAGATTCCTAGAACCCCATGTTGGAAAGAGAGAATTGACTTTGGTTATTTTCTGCCCTCCATGTGTGTGCTGTGACATGTGTGTCTCAGCCCTCCTCCCCACAATAAGTAAATGAAATAAAAAACAAATTTAAGGGTATCCTGGGGGCTGGAGAGACTGCTCTGCTGTGATAAGGGTGCTGGCTGCTCTTGCTGAAGACTTGAGTTTAGTTTCCACCACTCACATGGTAGCTTAGAACTTCTTTTAACTCTAGTTGCAGGAATCATGTGTTTTTTGGTACACTGTATACACTTAAAAACATGTAAACATATTAAAATACTTTTTAAAAAGATGACAGTTTAGGCTACATGACAAAACCCTTGTTTAAAATTTTCTCATGACCTCAAATAATGAGTGTGGTGGTGTCAGTTTTTTTATGATCCTGCCGGACCACTGGGCTGTGATTGTTCCATTTGTCAATGCTCAGTGTTCAGTGCTCCCTTTCAAGTGTTTATCAAGGTGTAGTCACACCTGTTCACTCTAGGCTGAGAGTGAAGATGGTGTTTTACCACAGTCCTGCTTACTGAGGTCAGGTATCAAGAGGGAGAACAAGGCCAGGGACAGCGTTCCTTGGCAACTGGTGTGGGAATATAACCACTGTTCTCAGTTGTAGCTGATGTCTTCTTTCCCAGAACTCCTGGTGCATAGTTTGTGTTAAAGATTTATTTATCTATGTATTACATGTACATAGATGTTTCGTGTGTGTGTGCTTCTGTACATCAGAAAAGGGCACTGGATCACATAGACAGTTAACTACCATGTGGGTGCTTGGAATTAAGCTAAGGACCTCAGGAAGAAAGAACAGCCAGTGCTCTTAACCACTAAGCCACTTCTCCAGCCCCTTGTATATTTCTATGGGGCTTGTTTTGTGTGGTTAAAGCCACAGATGATACATTTACTATATTTTGAGACTGGCTGGCCTTACTTGGCTTGCTGGGCCTATACTAGGCCTCAGAGAGTTTGATCTTTCTTTAGTCCATTCAATAAAAGGGTTATGTGAAAAATATATTAATAAGCTAATTAATGATAACTGAGAACCACGTGATTCTATTGATCATTATGTTCATCAGAATTTAGCAAACAAGCTCTTATCCTGAGAACTCTCTTTGGAGTCATTAGATGGCTCAAAGTGTCTGGGTGAGTCCTAGAGACAGGTCGAATCTTCCCATGACAGCAATGACTTGGAGGAGCATTTAGAGGAGCCTGTTGTGGAACCAGAGCCAGAGCCAGAACCGGACCCAGAGCCTGAACCTGTGCCCGACATTCAAGAGGACAAGCCTGAGCCTGCATTGGAAGAAGCTGCTCCCGAGGATGTGCAGAAGAGCACTTCCCCTGCTCCGGCAGATGTGACCCCAGCACAGGAGGACTTAAGGGTATGGGTTATGGCTTAGCACTGTATTGCTGTCTTATTCTCTGTTTCTTTTGCTATGCTAAAAATGAGCCTCAGGTTGTGGGTGGGTGTGCATGTGCAAGGCATTGGCTGCTACAGAGCTCCTCCTGTTTTGAGACTGATTCTCATGTTGTGCAGGTTGGCCTCAAACTCCAGACAAAGCTGAGGATGATGCTCTGGCTCCCGTTTCCTGATGTTGGGATTGTAGTTGTGTGTGGCCATGCCTGATTTAAGGCACTCAGGACTAAACCCAGGAGTTTGTGAAAAGCTGCTAACTGAGCCACATATCCACTCTTCTGCTAGTTTGTTTATTTGAGACAGGGTTTCTCTGTGTAGCCTTGGCTGTTCTGGAACTTGGTCTGTAGGCCAGGCTGGTCTCAAACTCAGAGATCCACCTACCTCTGCCTTTCAAGTGCTGGGCTTAAGGCGTGCGCCACTATCACTGCACCCTCTGTTATTTTATTTTTATATTTTTTTCTTCATTATAATTACTTGGTTGATTTTAAGATGATCTAATTATTTAGCCCAGGCTGGCCTATCTTAATCCCCTAAGTATTGGGATTATGGGGGTGTGTTCATAGGCTTGGCTGCTTCCAAGACAGTTTGTGAGATGGCAGATGCTTGTAGATTCTCTGCCTGTGAGTGAGCAGAGGAGATGGGAAGCAGAAGTTAATGGCTCTATGTCGCTCTGATGTGTCCTGTTCTTCCCTAGACATTTTCTTGGGCATCTGTGACCAGTAAGAACCTTCCTCCCAGTGGGGCTGTTCCAGTGACGGGGACACCACCTCATGTGGTTAAAGTGCCAGCATCACAGGTAAGGGTCTGAATCCAGGACTTTGGGCAGATTTAACTATGCTTTAGACGTGAGACTTAACAGGGTTAGAGAATGGGAGGGAGCCTGTTGTACAGGGAGAGAATAGAAGGTACTTCACTGGGATGTGTTGGGTCATTGAGGTCTCTATGAGAGTGTCCATGCAGGTAGAAGCCAGAGGCCAGCTTCTGCCATTTTTCCTGGGGAACTTTGTACTTTGTTTTTTTGAGACAAGTCTCTGAGCTGCCTAGCTTCTCCTCCTTGGAGCCAGAATTGCTGTTTTCTAGGTTAACAGTCTTGTTTAAGAAAATTGACAAGCTGTGGGAGAGACAGCTCTGCTGTTAGGAGCATTTACTGCCCTTCCAGAGGACTGCGTTCAATTCCCAGTGTCACATGACAGTTTACAATTGTCTGAAACTCCAGTCCTAGGGTGTCCCATGTCCTCTTCTGCCTCCAGAGGGGATGCATGAGTCTGAGTGCACAGATTCATGAGAACACATACTTTTTAAATGTTTATTTTTTATTGTATGGTTATGGATATTTTGCATGCAAGTTTGTTTGCACCATGTGCCTGTCTGCTGTCCTTGGAGGCCAGAAAAGGGCATAGGGAATCCCTGACACTATAGTTATAGTTGTAAGCAACCAGGTGGGTGCTAGGACTTGAACTTGGATTCTCAGGAAGACCTACCAGTGCTCTTAACTTTGAACTATCTCTCTTGCCCTACACACATTTATTATAAGCTTTATATATATGTATTAAGTTATATATACACATGTGTGTGTGTGTGT